GGGGGGGGGGGATTGTCTCTCCAGGGTTCAGGGGTATTAGTGATGGTCTGCCGTGTCTCCAGTGGATCCTGTGACAGCTCTAATGTCGGTGTGATTTACAGACCACTGGACAAACAAGCATCATTACCGCAGCCTGTAAACGTGGGTCTGACCAGACGCTCCCAAAGTGGGGTCTGGGGACCCTCAGGGGCCCTTAAGAGGCTCCCAGAGGACCCCTTAGCGAAATGAGAGAGTTTTATTTGACTATTATTTCATTCAGGACGAGATAACAGACGGAGTGAGAATGAGCGATCAGAGGTTTGAGCCTCTGTCGTCACCTTCACACTAAACAATAAGTGACAGAGAAAATCCTCTCGGCTCCCAAACTTTACGATGTGAGGGTCCCCACAGCGAGACACGGTGTCTACTTAAAGGAAGGGTCCACCATAAAACACTGTTGGGGATCTGGCACGGTGGAGTCCATTCTCACAGCAAATCGCTTCATTCCATCAAGTCATTTCCTGTAATTGAGTCCTTGGAGTCATATTTTCATAAAACAAGTGGAAAAACATTTTAAAACCTGTTTCGTTTTTAAAGTACTAAGATTTATCCTTCTCGATCCCTATATTATTCTGTTTCAAAATATAAACCATCACTTCTAGAAAATTCTTAAAACAGCCAATTTAAATGGGAAACAAGTTTGGTTTAAAAAAATAATGTTTTTATGATTCAATTCGTGTCTCACAAGACAGAAATAATGTTCATCAACATTTAAGCTTCAGGTTTTGGTGTCAGGACTCTGTGATCCCAACGATGCCGACTGTAGCTCTGCAGATGTTCGTCCATGCCACTTTGTTGCACACTGAAAAACTACAAACCCATCGTGGTGAAACGTGGTTCAGACAGTCCTGATCTTATCACCATGAATTTTAAAAACTTTGATCACTGAACTTTTCATCTGGTCAACTTTTCAGTTTGTCCACAGGGTTTATAATTGAAAAAAGGCTAAAGAAAACTTACATTTCCACTAGCATCTCATCTCATTCTGTCTTTTTAGATGGAAAATTGAAAGTGTTGCCTTTAAAGATCCCCGGGTTACGACTTCAACAAAAGGAATGAAGAACATAACATGTTTATTTTGAGTTAATTTCTGGGCTTGTGCACATAAAAGGGGATGTCAGGTCAGGGGTTAACACTCACAAATGCAAACTATATGTTGTGTAGCTGTTTCCGCTCTGTGTGAGAAAGGAAAAGAGCCACTTATTAAAGTGTCTCTGCTGAAAACCTCCTGCCTCCACACAGACAATCATCTCTTTTGAGTGTAAGACTCGTGAATTTCTGACATTTTACAGAACATCAACGATCGGCCTCGTCTCCAGGGTCGCAAACTGTTTCTGCACTCACAAGGAAACTGAGCCCACTGTCAATTACAGAGACAGGAAAATTAAAATAAGACACCAGTTTACTGCAGGTTATTCCTGATACGTGCTCTGAGTGAACCTGTCCTCCAGGGAGCGACAGTGTGAAGGCCGAACAAACACTTTAACAAGGTACCGCTGCTGTTTTCATGCACAGAATCAACAAAATCGACTGCGTGACAGAGCAGCTAAATGCCAAACCACTGCTAAAGAGTAAAACTGCTGCTGCTGGAGGTCTGTGTGGTTCTTCTGCTGCTGGATAACAACTGCAACGCTGCCCCCTGCTGGCCCTGCGGAGAACTGCAGCTAAGTCTCATTGACTACGAGCACAAGCCAAAAAAAAAAAAAAACAGAACATAAAGCAAAGAGGGGGAACAGGAACACTGATGATTATAACATGTCTGGAGCCGACTGAGTGGACATATATAAGAGAAAAGGGAAAGAAATAAATTACAGCATTAAAACCGCTAATTAAAGATCAGAAATAAAGACAACATGAATACAACAAGGACAAACCAACCTATAACTTGGGAAAAGTGTCCATACAAAGACAGAAACTATAGGAAGTAATATACAGTATATACCATATGGAACTGGATATTGTTTTAACGAGAGTCACACTATGTTCTATTCAAGTGTAGGTTTGGGATTCACACGTAATGCACACTGTGAGGAAACAACTTTCTCCTGCTGGGGACAATGAATCTAAATCTGAATAAATACATCTAAACAAGGCAAAGCGTGAAAATGTGAAGGAAAAGGAAGTCGTGGTCGGAGTCAGCACAACTTCACAGAGAGCCTGTTCTGTCTTTCTGAGGTGTTTATTTCCTCTGTTATACGGTCAGTGTAGATTAGAGCAGCGCACACAAAATATCCAATGTGAAGATATATGAAACAACACAAAGCACAGTCAGCGTATGAAAGCAGCTGCTTCGATCAGCTGTGATCAATTCGCCAGGACGGAAGGTGAAAATGTTGCTCAACCTTTGCCTGACACCGACTCCTTTATCTTTTATCACTGCTTTTGCTTTTGTTTGGTTTTAAGTCAATCTGAATTCCCAGGGTCCATTTGGTGAAAACGTATCATAGTCAGAACCAAAGACATCCAGTGGCAGGTACGACAGCCACAGTGTCAACAACCTGTCGTCACGTGACCAAACTTCAGTAGGTCACGTGACGACAGCCCAACACCTTGCTGAGGACGACCATGAGCTGTGGATGATTCAGAATGATTACATTCATTAACCTTGTGACACAAAGTTTTCAAAGATATATCTGTTTTTATTTTTAAATATGAAAGTTTATTCTTCAGTTTTCCATTATCAGTAATATTAGACTTATTTTATTCTTTTTACTAATGTTCCCTCATCATTTAACTACTTATTTTTCTCTTTGCTTTCTGTCCCTGTGCTAGTGGTGGAGGCTCCATCACTGGTGTTTATTGCACTGCTCGATAACATTTTCTGTTTGTTTAATACTAAAAAAATCAGACCTCTAGTAACATGTCGTGTCTTAAACATAAGAACATATTATGGTTAAGGCTACAGTTATACACGTCGTAATAATAATATTAAACACCCTGTCTGCTGACAGTCATCAACTCTTCTCTCTAGGTATCCTTGACCAGATGTACCCTGTAGAAACTCATAAGCATGACTAAGCATTTAACAGTCTAACTAGACATCCTATCGCCACTAAACATTTCTAATACATAAAGTATCTATCCCATTTCTATCTGACTAAAAATACCTAACACAGCTTCCAAACAGGCTTTGCGTGTATGCAGACTGAGTGCTAGACATCATGGATGTTGTTATATGTTCTTGTTTGACTTACATTCAGTGTTGGGATATTCATACAAGTCTCCCGTCCACAGAGGACAGGGGACGACATTTCTCCACTAGGACAGACGGTTGTTTTGAGCCTGGACTCATCCTGTCCATCTGATGGTACCAGCTCAGCTGCACTTCGCTAACAGGCTCAACTGTCACGTTACAACCAATCAAAACACAATAAAACCTGTTTGTGTAACAAATGACTGAGGTCACTTTCCTCACACTGACATTAAAGATAACCTCAGAAATAGAAAACTAGCATTCGACCAGTGACGCCACAGGAGTGGACTCTGACAGAGACACCAGAAAGCAAAGTCAGTCATCGTTTCTGATCACATTAAATGTTTCTCAGAAAACACAGAACTAACTGTACATGAATATACCTGTAATTACAGATTTGACAAAGTCAGCTGCTGATGTTGGGATAAAAACTAGACAGTTTCAACCCTTTAGATCTGAATTTAAAGCAACAATTAGGTGAGGAGTTATGCCAACTCTTCAAGAGAAGAGGAAGAGTTTCTCTATGCTACAGGGAATCTGGAACCACAAACACAACAGGTGTGTGTGCAGGTAACCAACTGTGCTTTGGCTGCAGGTTTTATAATTTTGTACATCATCGATGTAAATCACAGCCTGGAAAAAACCAAGTTGGGTCAATTCCTGTTTACTGTGTTATTTATTATTAGTGGTTTTTCCCTGTCATCAAGTTAAGCTCACAGATCTGGGAACAGGGAGGCATCAACAAAAACAAGCCTGACGGGTCAGAAACGGGTGTTAGTGAGGACCCTCCAGGTCGGCTTTCAACTTGAAGACAGACGTAACAGGCAGCACAGTGGAGAGCCATGAAGTTCTGGATGCTGATGAAGGATAGAGGGCAGAGTTGGGCCCTTAGCGGAAAAAACAAACTGAGAGACTCGTGCACTGTGGTCTGAGCACACGGAGGTCTTTTTGTTGAGGTCACAATGCAAATGCTGAGTTTGATCTGCATGCAAACGGCACCAGGCGTCCGTCTGTCGGCCTCCGTGAAGACAAATGGTGTTTATCAGCCAGTCTGGGATCAATGGCGGCGGCTGGCACAGGACGCCGCCTAATTATCTTTTTTTTGTTAAAGGTTGCATTTATTAGTATCCATCATCGCTGTTGTTACATCAATTAATGCTGTTGACGGGCGGAGGATTTGTCACCCTCTGCTCCCCCCCCCATCCTTCACAGGCAGAAGAACCTCCTCTCCTCTCCTTGGCATTAAAGGCCTGTCATCCCAGCATGCTGCGGGGCCCCTGGCCCCAGCCCAGCGGTGTCAATTAAATTTGATTGACTGAGTAAAACAAGCACACAAATAAGCCAAAACAACAGACACAAAAATCTATACATGACTCCTCTGCCTCCCTCCTTCCCAGCTGTCAAATCAAGCACTCGTCTCGTCTGTTTTCAGGGCGTGTGCCACGGGCGGCCGCCACAAAACAATCGCTCCAGAAAACAATCGTTCCTGTGTGTGTGTGTGTCAGTGTTGCTCGTCCCAGCTACCCCCCCCACCCTTAAACACCAGCCCCCCTGTCCAAACACCCCCTCATCCACACAGAGTGAACCAATTAGCAGCTCTGAAGCCTCGTCCACATTGCACAGCAGAGGCCCCTGGGTATTGACTCAAACTGTTGTCCAATAAATGAGGTCTAATTTATCAGTTTAACTCCCCCCCGAAAGGAAAGGAGGAAGGAGAGAGGGCAGGAAAAAAAACAAGGAGCGCTTGTTTTTTCTTACATGACCTGGCGAGGAACGTTTGGAAGGCCCAGATAAATGCTGCCCTCCTCACATATCACACCCTCGTCTGTCTCCGCGCCGCTTTGCTAATTGTCAGCCACTGAGCTCATGTTTCATATTCTCAGCCATGACTGAGGGACGCTATTAGAGCAAACCCCATTAGGTTCCGTGGGGAAACAGTCGGCCCTGCGTGGGAACCATCAAAGGCCAATTTGCTACCCAAACACCATAAATCCTGCCTTGTTAAGTGACTGTTTTTGATGCCGCCGGAGTGCAGAGATAAATATACACCCTGTTATGTATTGTCCATTAAATTACCAGAGAGCACAATTCACACACGGCATCCATCTCGATCAGCAGTGGTCAAACGTCGGGTCCTGGGACCTGCAGAGGGCCCCTGAGTGCTGGAGGAGACCCCGGTGAAAGTAAAGACAATTTCACTTGTTATTTAAGAAGCTTTAAGTTGCAAAACTTGGCTTTTTATCCCAAATCTGATTTCTGGGGGGCTGATTGTTTATTTTGGGTTTAGGATTGAGCAGAGTCTAGTCTGACTCAAAACAACCTGATAAGTCAAATCAAAGTGCTTTTACTCAAATATTTTCCGAAGTACATCTTTTCTAAAGGCTCATTTTCAGATTTCCTGGAGGAACATAATCAGTAATGTAACTTCTGAAGTGATTTTAGGAAGACAGATTAACGTCAACATTGTCTTGTGGACACCTGCTAGCTGGAGAACAAGGCGGTGACTGCAGCACAGCATCAGCACTAAACCTACTGGAAATGGTTTGACCCTCACAGGTCAAGACTGAACCACAGGTCAGTGAAGGGGCTGAAGGTGCAGAAACACTTGTATGGTGCTTTAATGTCAAATAACAAATGGAAGTCACTGTACAAAGCATCATGAATGGTCAAGGTAAGTCAGCGTGATTAAAACGTGTTAAAAACATTTATTAGTCCACAGTCATTAAACCTAAAAAAAAAAATATGACCTGGCATCATTTGGGCATCCAGAAACAAGGGACGAGTTTATTTCACTTCGTCTTCACAACAGTTTAAATAACAGGACTGTGTCTTCCAACATTCACTGATGTTGCATTGCGCTTTTTTTTTTTTGCACTGAGTGAATATGTGAGTCGATGTTGCAGCACTGTCGCTCTGAACAGTTCACTGAAATGACAAACAGGTACAGGTCAGATAGTCTCCTCAGCAGAACCATGGCGAGCTCCTGTCACTGGTCCTCAAGTGGTTACAGGGAAAACACGTCAAATACAACAAACTGCGTTTCAGAAACAGTCTCGTCAACACAATTGGCCCCATAGACAGAACACGGTTTTGGCAATGAGCAATATTTGAGGCAACACAGATGGAAAACCTGCCCGGCAACTGCTGACGACAGGATGTGAAAAACCTCCAGAAACATAAGGTCACTTGTTATTTTAGAGTCTTCTGGTACTTTGCTCTGTTTCCTTGGAAAGAATTATGGAATCTGGTTCCAGATGTGGGAGAGCAGAGACAGTAAGGTGCTCTACTAGCACAGTCAAATGCTTCAAAGTCTGATTATGCCAGTAATTATTTTGAATTAATTAATTAACTAGATATGAAGACAGACTCTATTTTACTCAGTGGAAACAGATCAGTGTCAACCAGATGTGAGTAACCTGCACAGCAGGACTGCTCTGGTCCACACAGCAATGTGAACTCTCATGTGAACCTTCTGCTGCATCAGAGTGTCTCAATGTAAACACGCATCAAAAAGACATGATCATGTTTGTCCTAAAGACAAACTAGAGAGCTGAGGCTGTAATGTGGTGCCGTTACAGGTGAATTAATCTTCTCATCAAAATCTCTATGAGAGCAAGTTTCACAGAATACTATGGATGGTGGTGGCAGTCAGTGTTAGGTATGGATTCTCCTGCCGGATGGCTCCATGGGATTTTAGACATTACCTCTAGCACCACCCTAAAGAAAACACATCACACTTGTATCCCCAGAGCTGTTCCGTCCAACGCCGGTGTACTGGCAGGTGTTATGAACAGTACAGCCTCTGGGGGCCGCTAGCGAGGCTCCAGCCTCTGTATTCACCACAAAACAGTTCCAGCTGATTAACAGGGAACAGTTCAAACTGATCAGCTAATTAGAGGTTAGATCAGATAAATATCACATGTTCTGCAGCCCTGGATGTCTCATTAAGTGGTGGATTTATTGAATCAGTTTTTTTTCTTTATATCTCATATACATATTTGGTGGACTCAGCTTAATGAAGTCGCTCCTCAGTGATGCCGTCCATGCAGGCTCCAGGTGAGTGCCACCTACTGCCACAGCAGTAAACACTGAATGACAGCATCAGACTCCAGCCTCGGCCTTCTAGTTTCAAGCTTAGAAGAAGTTTGTAAATGGCGGTAATGTCAAGAAATCTGTATGAAGTCTCTGTAATGCACAGATGGATTTAAAAGTCTGTTTCAGATTCTGCTTGAAGTCCAAACACTCGGCCTCAGTGGCTGTAGAAGGTGCTTCCTACACCTCCCCATCTCCGAGACACGCCACACAACTAATGTCTACTTCATGCCAAACATACTGCATAGATAACAACCATGGACAAACAACTGTGGAATATAGTGTAAAAAACATTAAATACTACTCTATACAGTGGTGTCAAAACAATCGGCTGTGCTGGTGCACGTTAACCATGTGCACAATTATTATCATAGTTTTTTCTTATTACAAATGATATAAATGTGTGCACAAACATAAATACTAATATTTCACAAGTTCATCTTTAGTGTGGTTCAGAGTACAGCAAGAGAACCTGCTCATCTCCATGTGGACAGATGAAGGTTTGGCACTTTTTCGCTTTCTTCTACAAAATCAAACTCAACTAAAAACTCCAATGAGCTGACGTAGGGAGATTCTGGCACAAACTTAATTCAGTCTGTCACTGAAAACAAAACCTTCAGTCTCGTTAAAAACAGGCTCTTCCCGTTCACCTTGTACTGATTCAAACAGAAACGCAGGCGGGACAGTTTCTGTTTTTGTCTTTCAGGCCATAAACTTTACAGAAAATGTCATGAGCCAAATGTCTGAGGCAAAGAACCTGAGAATCGTGATGTTTAGCAGGTAGAAAAACCTCAGGATGACTAACATAAGAACAGAACAGTGAAATGATGCTTTATCTGGGAACAGCAGCTGCTGCTTAGTTCTGTTGATTTTCGGACAAATTTGATATAACCAGGTATGTTTGGGGCAGTGCTGTGAACTAGGGGTTGTGAGTAAAAGAGGACAGATGTCTCCGTACAGCAATATCTGACTTTTCTTACCAAGAAAGACATTTTCAGCTTTTCTGTGTCTGTGCGTGGAGCGAGAGAACGACCACGTTCCCTGTTTTACTGAGACAAACAGCCTCCTCTGTTACCGGGGACTGCAGCTTAAGACACAGCGTTAGTTTTCTGTTAAATGGACAAAGGCAGCTGCTAATTTGAAATCACACTTTTAATTTGGTCCAATTTTATGGCAAACATCTCACTGAGTTATTAAACTATAAATTTACTGTCCTGTTAACCCCTCGACCTCCGTTCCTGTTTACTTTACTGTGGATAAATAAAAAGTATTCATAGCATTGCTTTTGAAAACTGCCAGAAGCCTTCGCACGGCGCTGTACGTGCGTCTGGTTCTGAGCAATCTATGAAACAAAATAAAACTGCGATGTCTGACACAGGTTCATCTCTGTGAAACGATCAGGTTCGCTGCCTCACTGTTGGCTCTTTGCTTTGTAGTCAGGTGGTTTTGAGCTCACGGCCCGTCACTAGGCACTAGTTGGTTAGACATTACTGGTTTTGCTCTTGCCCTTGGCTCCGCCTCCCGGGCTGCTCTTGCTGTCTGACTTCCTGCCAGGTGAGTTCTGACAGGTGGGCTGTTTCACAGCAGAGCCTGACTGACAGCTGCTGCTGTTGTTATTGTGGTTTGTGTTTCCGCTCAACGTCTCTATGATGGAGCGAAATGTCCCAAATGGACGCTTGCTTTCAGAGCTTCCTGTCAAAGTCCTCTCCTTGCCCTGATGCCCTTTGGGTGGCTCTGCCTCCTGGTTGGAGCTCTTGTGGACCTGCTCGTCAAAGGTCACCCTCAGTTTGAGGTTCTGGGATGTCTTCCTGCGAGACGAGGGAGACTTCAGAGCGCTCTTGGGGCTGGTGGCAACCTTCTGGCCATTGGCAGGGTCATGGAAGTCGCCAGAAGCATCTGATGTTTTGCCCTCTGTGGCCTCGGGGTCGCTGGAGGTGGGGGAGGGGTTGTGACAGATGCTGTCGACAGACTTTGACCCAGTTAGAGAGAATGCTAGCTTCCTATCGGCTGAGGACGACGACGAGGGAAGGTGCTTCTTCATCATCAGATGAAGGTGGTTTGACACTGGCTCCTCCTCTGTGACTGGCAGGTGGGACGGCCTATCAGACCGCACCGTGTTTGACAATGGGGCTCCTTGATTTTTACCCTCCTCTGTTGGATAACCATCAGAATCAGACTCACTGAGAGAGCGCTGCATGATCTGTTTGAGTCTCACTAGTTTGAGCTCTCTCCTCTCCACCAGCCCAGTCCTGCGGCCCCCAGGGGCCCCAGTTCCACAGGGGCCGTCTCTGCTCAAGCCACCCGCAGGAGGCAGCCTCTCCCTCGGACACAGCGTCTCCGACATGTCCTTCCCCAGCAGCTGCCTTAACACAGAGTCTGGACCCACCCCTCCCTGACGCACCAACCAGTGAGCGTCACCTGGAGTCCCCTCTGCTGTCAACATCATCTCTGACCACGCCTCCACTGAGGGCTGGTGGGAGCTGGAGTCCAGAGAGGGAGACAGGAACGATCATTTATCTTCACATATTTTCAGCATGTATGATAATGTCAGGAATTATTATAGCTATAGCTATTTCCACACACACACACACACACACACACACACACACACACACACACACACACACACACACACTCACTACTACTTCCACCATTACTACTACTAATACAACTATAATACCAAAACAATGACAACACACAGGATCAGTGTAAGTCCCTAAAGTTTAATATTTCTGCTCCGACCTTACAATTAAAAATGTTGATAATCACGGTAAAAAAACAGAGTAGACCTGCAGGCCCGCTGTACCTCTGGGCCTGCTGCCTGACGATGCAGGAAGTTCA